ATTTTTTTTTTGAGAATATATTATTGCCTACAAGTCAACTATTTGGCTTCTTAAAATGCCTTGACAAGAGGTGATTCAGCAGAAAACAAAAAGAGAGGACAAAAGACTTTATGAAGTGAGATCAAAGTAGTCAAAATGGCTTTTCCAAGAAAAAAGGCATGGATAATTAAATACACAGAGGAAAAGCATGTCAGGAACTTCCCAGCTCCCTTCTTATTCTAAGAATATGAAGATACTCCATGAAATCAAATTAACTTTCTCCGTACAATAGGTAATTAAACCAGAAAGCTCCCTGTTGAAGTACACTCCTCCTTAAAGCTGAGAATTCAGCGAGTTGGGGGGGGGGGGAAGAGAAAAGAGAAAAAATTCCTGTTATACTTAAGAAAAAGCCTTTGGGAATAAAAGAAAGCTTGTCTCAACTAACTATGGATACACTCCTCCCCATCCCCACCTCCCTCAAGATTCAAGTACGTTCATGGAAACAAAAACACTAGAACTACTTAATGCAAAGATACAGCAATCTACTCTTCAGGAATTTCTTAAACCATAGGTTTTAAATGATAGAAAAAAAAAGGGGGGGGGAAGCACAAATAGATACTTGTTCTGATCTTCTACTTTTTAGCTATCCTCTTTTTGTCAATAGTGTACAAGGCTAGATGGACATTTCTTACAATCAAGGCTAGATACACATTAGCACCTTCAAGGCACAAGTTCTTCTCAAGTTTAAGCTCAACCCCCAATTACTGAATATTAACACAAGAAACACTCCCCTTCACTGGCCTGCTGTAAAAAATACTCATACCTTGCACTGACAAGTTCATACTGGTTAATCATGGGATACCAAAAGTAGGCCAACCAAGTCAATACCATTTCCATGTTTAACTTTAACCCAAATGACTAATAAGGTCCATTTAACAAGAGAGCAAAAAGTGATGTTAATATCACATTTTGATAGTTTACTGTAAAGACATTTTAATATGACCAACACATTATCTGTTTTCACATTAAACAACATCCTAGCATCAGGATATGATCTACTGATCAGGCTTTCAGTTTTCAAGCATCCGTATTTTACCAGTGCTGATACACACAGTTCCTCAAGCAACAGTGTTACTAACAAAAATGAAAATTTGCAAATATTTATCCAATACTTTATTTTTTTAAAATCCTGTGTTATAATTTAACATGCTGCAGTGGTTTTCCTGTAAAATACTCTATTTTAAAGTTATTTTTGCCGTATTTTCTGAGCCTTGGCACTGTTATGCTTGTCATTTGAAACCTGGCACTCTGATGTACTTTCCTCTCAATATCTACCTGTAAACAAACAAACAAGCCTGAGAGGAGTGTTGAAGGTTACAGTTTTTGTTTTGCATTTCCAAGGGTTTGCTTTTAAGACTACAGGTGGCAGTCTCATCAACAAAAGTGGCAAGACACATCTCTTGGGTACTTTTTTATGTTTTCCCACACCTTTACAATTTTGCCGATACAACGTGCTACTGCCACATCTCTTCTGCAGCATAAAACAGCTTCCCACAAGATCTGGAGAGCTCTGCTTGGACTGTGAAACCAACTGAACCAGTATCTACCCAAGAATCTGTAAGATTGAATAAGAAAGTAACTGTTTGTGGTTTTGCTTAACAGCTATTATCTTAGCTCTTGCTTATGTTTCAAACCCTTCCTCAATTTTTCCATGTATTGCTGTGCCCCTTCAGGGGCACTTCTTCATTTTAGGATGCTTCCTATTTAAAAAGGAGTGGTCCACCCAGCATCAATGTTCTGGTGACCCATCAAACCACTTCTTAAATCTGATGCAGTGTTCTCTGAACACTGCTTTTTTAGTCGTGGTCCTTATGCTTGTCAAGGTGGCTGCCAGTGTTCACACCTGAACCATACAATTCTGACACAAGACTCTCCCAATGGCAAATTCCAAACACTTGTCCTTTTGCAGAAAGCAGCTACAAATGGCCTTTACTTTAATTATTTTTTGTTTTTCTAAGGCTGCTTTCAACTCTACTAATACTACACTTCCAACCAAAGTACTAGTGAATACAGCCATGCAGCTCGGAATTTATTACAGAAAACCTACTCAACACAGAAACCATACATGTGGCTGAAATTACAGTTGGCTGCTTGGATGCTACTCCAGTTCTACAACGAATACTAAAGCACTGCTAGCAGCTTACATGTACAGAGATCGAGCTTGAGCCCACCAGCATAAGCTCTCTTCCAATCGCACCCAGTCCTGAAGAACTCCTTCACAGAAAGCCATTCTGAGCACCATACTTTCTCACACAACATGTCTACACGTCACAGGAAGTGTCACCCTACTGGAGCTAGCTTATTCAGCTGAATTATTTGTACTGCCTCAGACAGGAGTTTGCTGGATTAGTGATTTGCTCTGCCCAGGGGGAGGAAAAAAAAAAAAAAAAAAAAAAAGATTACCCTCTTTCTGCATTACTTTACATATTGAGCATTAGACATACTAGATAAACAGGAAGACAGACAAGGGGAACAGAATAAGTATCAAAAGGCAAGAACAGCAACACAAAACCAGAAGAGGAGACACAATTAAGAAGTGCCAATTAATGTATTGCAGACACATTTGCAAAATGTCTGTAAGCCCTCCAAGCCAGTTGGTGAGCATCTTCTATTTTTACCAACAAATGTGGATGGCAAGCTGAAGTATCTTATCTTCCCACTCATCTGCAAACCGGCATCTGCATGGCTGACTTCATGAAAAGTCATTCCTTCTTTAGGACGCCTTGCATTTTGTAATATCCGTGCTTCCATAGCTACTGTTGTTCTGAACGGATAACTCCTCACTGCAGTGCAGGACTTTCTAAAAACTGCAGATTTGCAGTTCGCTATAAGATATCAAAATGCAATCTTCCTGAACCTTCAGCACATGTAACAATAACTCAGCTTCTATTTTAAACTAACTCCCTTTTTATTTGCAGTATCTCTATTACTTAATGAGCAATTACTACTTGGTTTTGGGGACTTCAATCTTAGTCTTGAGTTAAGTAATATTTTTTTTAACCATTTTTAACATTTTTAACCATGTTTTTACATGTGGTCTTCTACAGTGAAAGACGCACTGTTGTATTTGCAAGGCAGCTACATTTCAGTGATGGTCAGAACTCTGACTAAATATCTGTAGGGTATTAATTACAAAGTATAAAAAAAAAAATGACAATTTATGTTAGTCTTCTCTTTATTTTTCACCCACCAGGGGAAAAAAGAAGAAAAAAATGTTTTAGAATTATACTGCACACATTAATAAAGCTTTTCTGGTCTCATCAGTTCCAAGATAAACAAGCACAAACACTTGGAAATAAGACTACATTTATTTAGAAGGAATTTTAAAAAAAAAAAAAAAAGAAAAAAGAAAAAAAATTTATTTCTACTGGACCCAATATATCTGTCTTCCCCATTTCACTATTTAAGCACATCACAGCAAGACGGCCTACAAAAAGAGTAAGTGCCCAAACTAGCTTTGATAAATGCAGTATCAACACAGATAAGCTATTCTGTTGTATAACATTCTATCCTCAGAAACATTATTTCAGACATTTCTAATTATTTCTGCGATTTACTCATTTTTGTTTTTAAAAGAAGAGCTTCCCAGAACTTTTATCATAATGAGGAGAAACACAGAATCACAGAATCGTAAGGGTTAGAAGGGACCTCGGGAGATCATCTAGTCCAACCCCCCTGCTAAAGCAGGCTCACCTAGAGCATGCTACACAGGACTTCATCCAGGCGGGCTTTGAATATCTCCAGAGAAGGAGACTCCACAACCTCCCGGGGCAGCCTGTTCCAGTGCTCTGCCACCCTCAGAGTGAAGAAGTTCTTCCTCATATTCAACTGAAACCTCTCATGTTTCAGTTTGCACCCATTGCCCCTAGTCCTGTCGCTGGACACCACTGCAAACAGACTGCTTCCGTCCTCTTGACTTCCGCACTTAAGATATTTGTATGAGTTGATGAGATCCCCTCTCAGTCTTCTCTTCTTCAGGCTGAACAAGCCCAACTCTCTCAGCCTTTCCTTGTAGGGGAGATGCTCCAGTCCCTTTATCATTCTAGTAGCTCTCCTCTGGACTCTTTCTAGGAGTTCCTCGTCTTTCTTGAACTGGGGAGCCCAGAACTGGACACAGTACTCCAGGTGGGGTCTCACCAGGGCAGAGTAGAGGGGGAGGAGAACCTCCCTCGACCTGCTGGCCACACTCCTCTTAATACACCCCAGGATACCATTGGCCTTCTTGGCAACAAGGGCACATTGCTGGCTCATGGTCAAACACTGTTTTAATAACAATGCCACCTAACACAAAACAAGTATCAGACCTTCCCTTCCAACTCCTGAGAACCAGAATGCAAGATTCTTTTTCTTCAAACTGTTCCACATTACCTCAAGGTTTCTGCTCAATAACAAAGCCTTCTAATTTACAGTTTAGGTAGGACATCATTAAGTGGAAGAAATGCGGTGTTACATGCAAATTTATTTTACAAAGCTACAAGCAATACGAGTTTTTATTTCATAAAGCCCCTGAATCAATCTCAGTAAGTCATTTTGAACCTAAAATTTAGTTCAAAAGTTTAGTTTGACCTGTTCTTGCTCTTCAACAAGAGATCTCAAGTTGACCACCTTATTTCTGGACTAGCTGAAAAATGCTTTGATTTCTCCCAACATACCAATCTAAACTAGCTTTCTGAAACAACAAATCCCTAGCCAACTCACTGCTAGGTTATAAAAAACAGCAGCAAAGTTGTAATGGACTACTGCACAGACGTGCAAAAGTGAAAGAATTATTTTGGTTGGATCAGCATTTGGCTGTAAAAGCGGTTTTAGCTCACTTGTATTAATCTATGCTTCAACAAATATCTGAGGAAGTATACCACTAGAACTGTGAAATTATGAGCAGTTTTATTGTTGAGCAAAGTGTGAAGATAATAAAGCCTCACTTGAAATTTAAAAGGGCAAGACATCACAGATTGTTAAATTTACATTGGCATAGACAATACAGCAAAAAAATGAACTATAAGCGTGAGAACAACAAATGCAGAAGCTACTAATTCTACATTTAGGCTTACCAGGTGAGGTCTCCCAATAAATTTCCTGAAAGGTGGCTTAGTGAACCTCATAGGCTTTTGGAACCCATCAAGTTGAGAGCTTTGTAATTTTGAAAGACTGCAGCTTTGCTGGTTCCTGATGGGTGTGTGAGAAAGAGAGAGAGAGAACAATTAAAATCTAAAGCCACAGCATATCAAAACCCTGTATCTTAAGTGACCTTAGTCTAGCATCTATATCACTTAGTTTTGACTGTTTGTAAGTAATCTTTTTCTAGGACATTTGACAAATTTCTAGTCCTCTCACTAAACTCAAGCCCAAGTTGTACAGAATTATATAGTAAGCTGTATTCTCTTGAATACAAAGACAAATTAAGAGAGATACTCTGCCCTCTTGAAATCCCCGCTGTGCAAATCAGGTTTCCCTGGCTCACCCCACTAGGCCTGCACAGCTGGTCCCTGCTGCCCTCCGCTGGTTGAAATGCTTTCTGCATTTCAGCAGTTGTTTTTTACTGTACAATCTTTGAAGTTGCACAGAACTTTCCATTTCACGAAATCCCGAATCCGAAAGAAGCTCAGATAAATAGCTAGATGCTCCAGTTTAATCCTCAGCAAGTAGGGAGTTCTGGCTTTGGGCTTTTGCTTGCTTGGGGTTTTTTTGGGTTGGGTTTTTGGTGGGTTTTTTTTGTTTGTTTGTTTGGGTTTTTTGTTGTTGTTGTTGTGTTTTTTGTTTGGTGGGGGGTTTTTTTGTTTTGTTTTTTTTTACTGAGCACACTGCTAATACCAAGTGTCCATAACCTCTAAATAAAACATATACCATGAAAGGTGACAACCAGAAGTCAAAATTCATAGTTCACAAAACGTACAGAAACAGTTTTCATAGCTGCAAAATAAATCACTAAGGCAAAACCAGAGGCACACTGGACTAGCTCACAGGCATTGCCAGTATCTCATACGTGAGCTATTGAAAACCCCCGATCTCAGGAAAATTCTACCCATCATTCGTACTGTCACTGCCCTCAGCCCACATTACACTGTCCACATTAGTCTGATGGCATAACCCCTCCTCACATCAAACTCGAGGACAGCCGCACTTACTAAAGAAACTTGTGCTTCCCGCTTTGAGTGGCATACACAAAAGGTAAGCAAGACAGTGACTGTGGAAGTGGCAAAAAATTAAAAAAAAAAAAAAAAAAAAAAAAAAAGAGAGAAAAAGCCTGCCCAGATAATCTGGCCAAAACATACACTAAAGACCAGTCCCAGGTACATAAAAGGCTATATGCAACAGTCTGGTTTTCCTCCCCCCGCCCCTCCACCTTGGTAACTTTTACTTTTTTTGTTTAAAGAATCTCAAATACAATAAATATTTCTTCTGCAGCTTCACAAGTCATTTTTCCCAAATATGTGCGCACTGCCACTATCTGCCATTACAGATTGCATTTAAAATGAACAAACAGCAGCATATTAAGAGCTATCTGCAAGTCATGACTACAATGTAGATACATTTCATTACACTCTGGTAATTCTTTAATCAACATTTCTTCTAACACAAGTAAGTCATCTCTCTGTAATCAACCAACTTCGCAACATCAAAAGTGAAACAGGATGACTGGGGCTAGCAAACACCTCTGTGGCAAACACCTTTAACCAACCTGTTGGAGGAATTCACAGCAGTAAAAAGCTGTTACAAAAATCTACCTTTTCTTCATAAAATTCTCCAGGAGTCAGAAAAATTCTAATTTTTTGTTGATATTCCACATGACATTACAAAACAACCAGGGCAACACAACAATGTATTCATCCTAGAATGCTTTTATGAAAACTATGAAATACCAAGAGAATTTTATTATATGACACATCAAGGAATTTAAAAATAGTTAAGCATGTTTAAATTATTTTCTTCCCCTCTTTCCATTCAGTGCTACAGTTTGAGCTTTCTTTTCATTTTTTCCCACTGCAGCTTAACCTCTTTCAAGGTCACACTCCATTACAGAGTAGCTTGCAGTGTATGTCTGTTTTAAGTTTGACTCGGACTGAAATTCAAGGACATACTATGGAGAAAGAATCTCAACAAACGTGAACATAACTGTAGAAGAGTCAAAAAATGAATGCATGAGAGAACTACAGGCTTGGGCCAACAAGATTGTTGTTTGCTAATTACCTTGGAGTTACACCATCTACACGAAACACTCTCTCATCTTCATTCTTCAATCTCTCTTTTCTCCTCCTTTCTATATCATGCCGTAGATCATTTGGATCTTCTAACACTCTCATAATGTTCTAGTTAAGAGGAAGGGTTAAAGTCAAGTTAGCTGGTAATAGCTAAACACTGATGTGATTCTGTCCTTCAGGGGTTGCATCCGGTACATAACCTCATTAATGCAATTCAACTATCTGCACATAGGACAGATGCACATCAACCCAAGAGGCCAAAGCCCAAAATAATAACAAAAAATAGTCCCAAACAATTACCCTTTCTTGCACTATCTGCCTTTTTACAAGTTTCCAAACAACAGTGAACAGAGCACTAGATTCCGCATGGAGTTGCCAAGTTAAAAATATTCACATGAATTCCAGTAAATCTTAAGAAGTTCTGCTATTCTTAAGTTGAATCTCCACATATCTGTACTGTATAAAAAAAAATGGTAACTAAATCACAGAAAGTGTGGCTTGAAAGAGGAAGACAGAAAATTTATGTCCCTAGATGAAAGCATGGGATAAAATAGCATTCTGAGGAATTATGTGGATGTTGAGCCACTCTAACATCAGGGTAGAAGAAACATCAAGGGTTTTTCTAATCTCAGAGGGAAAGAGGGAGCCACATGTCAGTCACCTGCTTACACTATCTAGAAACAGATAGAGGTTCAAGCAGCAGCAATAACCACACTCCAGCTACTCCGGAGAACACACCTGCATTTCACTCAGCAGTGAACACAGCATACTTGCATCCCTGTGGTATCCGTAAATATGCTCAAGTGTGCATTTCATTCAAAACAGTCGGAATTATTGATGGTGTTCAAAGCACATAAAACGTACCAACAGCAAAGGGAAAACGTTGTTCCCATCTAGATCATTTTAACTTACTGTTTGCCAAAGTAGTTACGTAATCAAGATACCTGGGGAGATTCAGGTGGCACGGTTCGTTTGTTCTGAAGTTCTGCTAAAGACATGTCAATCCTCCTGGAACACAAAAATATTATATAAAACCAAGTGCCATCACTATAAATAGCAAAAACATTATTGACCAACTACAGAATTCTTTACAGACTATAAGCAGGTAGCTTAGAGTCAGTGAGAAAACACTTTCCATTGCATACTGAAGATTAACTACCTTAATGCAAATAAATTAAGGCAAAAAGCATATCAATTACCTGTGAATTTCTGGATCCAAACGTATTTTAACTTCATTCATATTTGTAATTGGTTTATCCTGAATTTTTGAGAATCGTTCATGCAGAGTTATGTCAGAAGATGTAAAATAATTTGCTGTGAAGAGACATTAAATACAAGAATATTTATATGTAGTATTTGAAATGCATGGTGTGAAATTGTACCTTTTAAAAGCTTAACTCTTAAGGACACCAAGACAACTTCCGAAATTAAATTTCAAACTATTTCTACTTGCAGTTTAACATTTGCTAATGAAAAATTAGGCCAGCCCAACTTAAACCGCCTTCTTATTAAATAAGATTAAGCTCAACATAAAGTTAACTATTTGTCAGTTCTATCACGTTAGTACGCAAACAATTAGAATCTATAAACAAACTTCAACACTGAACACAATGCAGCAGCCTAAACATTGGAAAAAAAAAAAAAAATTAAAGGAACTATATAGGAAGTTGTGACTATATCAAAGCTCCTTTTTTCTTCTCATTTCCTAAACAAGCAGGTTACTCTTAAGTACTAGCATAAAACTCTTTCGACCTTAATGCTCCACAATAATGCCTCTATTATGGGCTGAGACCCTCTTACAATCATTCTTCACCCAACTGCTTTAAATCCTCAACCTACATGTCCCTTAAAAATACAAACGAAGCCAAAGGCAAACACCTGAGACTTACAGGGACAGCATATCCAATTCATTAGATTTGTTTTTAATAATTATAATTAAACACACACATGCACCCCAAATATTACAGCCACCTTTAACTTGATGAATAATTGTGATTATTTCCTGAGTAAATTCTCTTGATGGGTCATTTTCAACATTTTGTGTTACAGATTCCATGTGCTCAAACACCGGATGAAAGTTTTCAGTTTTCCTGCCAACAGCAACCAGATCATGGGACATCTGTCTCTCTGTAGTATGACTAGAAGCAGTCCTAGAATAAAAAGTTGCAGATATTCACTTTAAAAGAACTCATTATGTCTGAAAACTTCAAATAGACAACAAAACAATAAAGTAAGTTCATTTTAGGAATAAATGTGATGAACCCCAAATCTCTCCCCCCCCTTTTTTTTAATTAAAAAACTTCATAAGGCCATAAGGAAGAAAAGCTATAATAAAATACAAAGAGATATGACTACACTCTCAGGAATCCTTGTTTCAGTGAAGTATGTAATACAAAACTTGTGAATTTTAAGTTAATTCAGCTAGGTTACCAAATAAGGGCAAATTAAGATCCTGATATACTACTATAGTATAATTCTGGAAAGCAATTACATGTGTGTCTTTATTTATAAGGAGCTACCAGACAATTTTCAAGAACAGTTCAGAGATGTAAAAATCTCATGGCATCTTTGAGAACAGAATCATCACTTGAGCCTAGTGAAACAGCTTTCCAGTGGCAGTGTGTGGACCTAAGAACATGTTTAGCATCTTTTAGTCAAATTTTACTCATTCTAAGTAAGTTTACGCCCCAAATGGTTGCACTGCTGCTTAAGAATTATTTTGACAAGTAATCTAACACTTTAAAAAATCCTGCTGTTCTTGTTGCAAGGAAAATGCTTGTCATTTGGAAAGATAAATTGAGGACTCAAACAGCCCATATAAAAGCTTTTAGGGTAAAACGGTTTCCTGGGCATTCTGCAAAGCAATTATGTGCCTGCCCATCCTGTATTTGAAGCATACAAACCTAGAATTTCCTACAAAAATTGCATCAGAAATAGCCTCTAGCAGGTGCCAAAGTCACTTATTTGCCCCCCAGTAAACTGGAAATAAATGCATGCAAGAGGGAATCCAAACAATCTCAACTGTAGATGATTTGAATGATCTACCTGCTCCCCAGGTTTACAAAGAAAATATTCTTCTCAGCTGAGTCATTTCAAGTCAGGTGTTTGTTAAATGCCTAAAGTAGGCAGCACAAATACTCCCAGTCATCACCTTCTGCAAAATTAGTATTCTCATCTTTCAAAAAATAAAATACTTAGCACTTCTGGCTGCAGAAGCAAATCTTCCACACATGAAATTAGCTGTAATCAATGTTGTAGTTTCTTCAGTGTGCAAATAATTACCACATCCTTTGTGCATGACTTTCAAAAATAGCAGCAAGAGGCTACTAGATACAGGAATCATCCTACGGGCTTGCAACAAAACCCAACAATAACTAAGGCATTTTTCTTATATTAGGTTTCAGGAAGTTAAATGCTTGTCCTAGCCGGGGAAAGCATTACTCTGCTTCCCTTTGCTCAGCCTTTAACATTAGCCCCTTATGTGCAGACAGTAACTTGTCTTTGTAACTCCCCATTGTTAAGGCAGAAAAAAAAAAAAAAAAATAGATAGATGTTTTCTTTGGGACAAGAGGCAAAATGCGTTTTAAAATGAAGGCTGATCATTTTGGAAGGGAAGGTAATACCTTCCAAAAGGGAATACTGCCATTGTAAGACATTCTTGCCTGCAACAGCAAGGCAACAGCCCAGAAAAGCCTGCAAAAAAAAAAAAAATTTCTACAGAAACCAGGCTGCTTACTCTCCATCATGTATCCATCATCTACATTTTCTTAACATGACCGCTTTTTTCCAACTTAGCCAGCATTGGCAATGTTAAAGGCAACCACAAGTGTTACATAGAAGACAGACAGAAGCAGGCTCTACTGCTTTTCAGTTCTGACGTCTCAACAGATTGCCGCTTCAGTTGTTACAACAATGAATAACATAATCCAGGGATCTCCAATTTTTCGACAGTTTTATTGAACTTGAGATCTCAGGCACACATTCAGATGTTCGAGATTTATGTAATTTAAAGGCTATTTGGTTTTTAGAAGAAATGAGGGATGACAAAAAAAAATGCCATTATATTCCAGAAGAAAGCACAGGATTAGGCTTTTCTGCTTTTGTTTCTTTGTTTTTAAAGTAACACACACTTATCATAAGCAACTTTTAACTACAGGATTGTATCAGGCACATCTGCTCTTTCCACTTCCTACTATGTCTCCAGGAAATGAACTAGGGAGGGGGGATTTTGGTTTGTTTTTTAATAGAGGTAGGCTGTAAGTAAGTTACATTTTAAACAAAGTAAAATTCAAAGGTACAACCTTAGGTTGTCCTGGTTACCTCTTAAAGAAACCATGCTTTCCTCCAATACTCAGAAACTGTAAAGAGACAGGCAGAAAGAAGAGGTGAGGGGAAACCAATACCTGTACTTGGTCACCATTTTCTTCATATCCACTTTGATTGTGAGACGTTCCCTCCTACAGCTGACATCTGACATTTTCACATCTGAAACAGTATGACTTGAATCATGCTGGCTATTGGAGGAATCTACTTTTTTCCTGAATTCCCCTTCTTTCCTTACTCTTTCCTTCGGTTTGTTTTTAAAAGATCTCAGATCAACATCCATTTTGGAAGAGTTAACACAAGCATTGCAGCCCTTCTTTGAACTATATTTAACAGGTACTTCGATGTGCCCTTCTTCAGTCCGTCTCACTCTTCCACTGCTAAAGTAATCTAACTCTTTGCTATTCCGGGCACCCTTAGAAGAATGGTATTTCTGGTCTTCCTGCTTCATGTACTTCTGAGCTCTATCGTCTGAAAAAGCCTTTTCCCCATCCAGATGCCTGCGCCGTTTGTGACTGTACTCATAGGATATCTTTGTAACAGAACCCTCCGAGTACTCCCTTTCAGCCGATCGGTGGGACTGGGCACCCAGATTTCTTTGCTCCTCCTTTTCTTGGTAGGGTGGAAAAGAACGTTCTTGCTTCCACTTGGAATTTCTTGCTACTTCTCCACCGTCATACCTCTCGATTTCTTTAGCCCTTTTAGACGTGTGCCCATATTCTCTGTAATCGTGATCTTCAGGATACCTGTGTTGACATAAAGCAATTTACACTTGCACTAGAGAAGAAAGCGAGAACTTATATGTGCAGAATGTTGGACAGCAGAATGCGTGGCAAGTTAACCCATAATCCCTCACGCCAAGGTACAGATGTGCAGGGGCTCTTAAGAGGGAAATATTATCCTTTCATACTCTAGCCATCAATACGATTTACTTAAAAGACAAATACTTCACTACTACCAGTCGCCCATAATTAAACTACAAAGTGGCCAACGTGTTTCAAGGTGGATATCTTCAACTATAATGAAAACAGACTTTCACTTGAGGCTTTATACCACAATACCCAGGGTTTAATTATTTTATTCCTATACCTCTTCTGTAAAGAGCTCCTTGCCGTAAATTCATCAGAAACTCTTCTGGGTGACTGACCATACTTCTCTTCATGTAACCTCTGGTGCCTCAAGTCATCTTCATGCCATTTTCTTTCAAGTTTACATGAAGCCCCTAACGGTCTATGAAAAGGTTTCATTCCTTTCTCATTTCCAGTGACTTTGTAGTGCTCAAACATGTATCTGTCTTCCATTTTGTGTTGGTAAAACGGACGATCATGCTCTTTATATGGTATTTCCGAGTATTTTGGTGGTAACTGGCATCTCCTATTGCCTTCAGTCCTTTCGGATGAATGTGTTCTGTAGGGCTTATGACTGTAATTATCTTCCATGGGAATTCTTTTCAGGTTTGGTGAAGGTGATCGACGTTCATATAGTCTCTGGTGGTTATTTCCATGAGGTGCAAACCTGGAATTGCTTTGTCCATATTTTTCATCTTCCGTTCTCCAAGGCATAGGCTTCTTTGGGTCCTTACGAAAGCTTTTATATTCACAGTCATAATTAATATGAGCATGCCTTTGTCTGTAGTGCTCTGGAATCCTAAATGCTGGAGATAAGGACCTAAGGCAAAAATAAAATCCACTTTGAGTAGTCCCATAACATTGAATCAACCTCTTAATGAGAACATCTATTCCCTAAGGAAGTATGGTTAAGTGCACAATTTCAATCAACTGGTAAAAAATTAAAAACAAGATATTCTAAGTGTCATTTGCCTGGCTAGAGTACCAAGCTTACTTTTACTCTGTTGAAAGTTTTCATAGCAAAAATACCCACTCGAAGTAGTAGTAAGTCAATCATTTTTCTCTGTTTGCATTTTTTCATTTAAAACTAAAAATAACTTCATCTATATGAAGTTTCTGCAACACTGAAAACAAGCTATACACATTTTCACACTTCTCAAGCATTCCCTATCTTTTTCAGTGCCAAGAGAAAAAAAGGGGAAGGAAAAAACACATATAAAGAAATGTAAAAAAAAAAAAAAAAAGCAAAAATACCCAAACAACAAAAACCCTAACCTTTTCAGGTTTTCTTTACATGCCAAAACAACTCCCAAAACTGACTAAAAACATTGTAAGATTTCCTGTTTAAAATGTCACACAGGTAGGCTTTTTCCTGCAGAAAAGTCCAAGTTTGGGAAAGCTGTTCTGGTCTTTTTGTGTAACTGTCTGTACACATACATACATATATACACATGCACTTCCACACTTATTGCCGCTTTTGCTATTAAAAATTCAATTGCTAAAATCAACAATTGCATCACTCAGCTTTGCATTTTCAATTACAGTTACAAAAATGAAAGCAACCTGTTAAGCTAAAATCTCCTTAAAAATGCAAAAATAGCACAAACCACTAGCAAGAACCAGAAAGTAATCCCAGACATAAAAGTTCTGCTTGTATTCAATTTTTCATTGTACACTCTCACTCTTTAATTTAAAAAAAAAATCAAAAAATTTAAGTTGAAAAAAATTCAAGGAAGTCACTTCCTTTGTACATATATTGCAAATGTACAATTTGGCATAACTATTTGCTCCATTTCTGCAAATGAGTTTCCTCCCTGTCCTTCACTCCAAGGACATATTCACAACTATCAATCTAGTCTGGAAGTAGAGAGGATTTCTCTTTTTAAAAACAAACAAAAACCCACACACATTTTTGTGTTATCTAAAAAAAATCCCTTGGTCTTGGTCATCACAACTTGTTCTGTTCAAAAAGCAGCCCAAAACCAGCAAAAAAGTAGTTTCATTGTACACATTAAAAAAAGCTGTATTCCAGCCTCCTAGTTTTAACACCTCAAATCAGCATTGCAAGTCCTAAAAATTAGGCAGTTAACTAATGGCATGAAGTAACCTGGATATTATTCTGGTGACATACTTCAATGACACATGCTACTAGAACTGGTGCCCAAAAAGAAGGGCACCGACTCCCGTGTTTTCAGTTCACTTTATGCTGCAAGGTCTATGTAACTGTGCCGAAGATCAATCTGCTGATCAGCCCCAAAGACTCAGAAAGCCCGAGGTGTTTGAACTAAGAAGGTTTTGTATTTTGGTTTGTTTTTAAAGAGTCAGTATCACTCTCTCTGTAGACCAAGATGCAAAACAGAAGTGAGTTACAGACATTAAGTGCACCAGGTGGTGCTTGACTAAAAATACCCCTACCTAGTTTGGTGCTTGGATTTTGTGCTTAAGGTAGTTCCACGTCCCAAAACACACCAAGTTGAACAAAGTTCTTGACAGACAGCAAAACCTTAAACACCTCCAGCTTAACAAAAAAACCAAAAAAAACCCCACCACACCACACCCAAAACCCACAACAACAAAAAAATGGTGAGTTGGGAAAAGAACTGCAGAGGGTGCTCATTTTGGAAAATAAATTACAATTTATAAAATACAATTTACAAATTGCAATTCTGGATGTAATTTACTTTCTTTTATACAAGTTTTAAGTTCTAATTATAAATCCTTACATAGAGCTGCATTTCAGAACACAAGTTATAGATAAATATTTACCTTGGTTTCCATCGTGGTGATCTTGATCTAGATCTCGTCATCTTCTTTCACGTGTTTATATGAGTTTCTTAAAGCTGTAAAAATGATACAATTTACTAGTCTGATAACAGAATCATACCACAAATTGCAACAGGGACAGTTGTTTTTAACTCAGATGCTTCAAGGCTGGGGTGAGGCATATTTTTAGGATGTTTTGCCTTAAAATGGGAGTTGGAGGTAAAAGTAAGTAACAATTTTCCTAATTGCTGATCTTAGAACACAGCTTATTTCCTTTATAAAGATTTAAATATTTGACCACTGCTCCTTTTTTCTCTCCATTTCGTAATGCTATTCACTCTCTTTTTAAACATTCATAATATCACAAGCAAGTTGCAGCAACTGAAAAAGATGCTGTAATTGTTAGTATGTACTCAATGCTATAGATGATAGAGAGGACAGAGACAGCTTTAAAATCAAGTTTACGAAGAAAAATGGGTTTGCATCAAGTTACGTTCTGAATTTCATATACACTGAACTTCAAATTTGTAATATACACTGATACTTTTACACAGTTACAGACCTCCTGTAAGCTTTAACTGCTCCATCAAGTCTTAACTGCTGTATCATCACACACTTCAGCCAAATAAAAACATTGACAAAAGATTACTTTTCTTTTTTCTACTTAACTTCTTAATAATCTACTACCTAGACACACATTTAAATACACAATGGATGCACTATGACAGAAAGCACTGCTCCCGAATCCTGGAAGTAGCTTTGGGCATCCCTTCTCATAAAAGCGATGGAAGAATGAAAAAACATCAGTGGAATCTGCCCTTCCTGCTCTTCTTTGCAAAAAGATACTAGAAGCTTGGAAAACAAGTGATGAAAGGCTATACAAACTCACCAGTAACGTGACTGGTGAATGGCAATGGAATGATTGTTCATGATTTAGCAAACACAAGGATTAAAGCAGAGTGAAGTTATCAGGTAACTGGTTAAAAGTTGGAATTTGGACCACATACCCATGCTTACAGCTCCTAAATACCACAAGATGCTGTAAAGGCCCAAAGTATAAATAGATACAAAAACAGATCCATCAACAGCTCTGAAATTAATGAACAACCAGTCACTTGAAACTCAAAGAACATACCCAGGTCAATGTCACTCTATACATGCTTTGGTATTTTCTGTAAGTATTTGCTCACACTCATGGAAACAGAAAACTGGTCTGGACTGGCCAAGCATGGCCTTTTTGACACGCCAGTGATCAAATAATTTCTTTAACTAAATCTTTTACCCGATCAACTAAGATTGAAAGGGGAGAAAAAACAGCAAGCTTTGAAGCATGTAAGAAACCTGAAGAAGTGGTGTGCATTCACCTGCCTCACCCAGTGTCTTGCCTCATCCCCAATCACACTAATTGGTCAAATAAAATATTACCCCTTGCTATATCTCATTTTTTGTACGATTAGCTTATGGCTAAAACAGCAGTAGCTTAGAGGAGAACACTCAAGATGGGTGTTAGACAAGCCATCTTCTATATTTCAGGGTGATTCTGGAAACATTCACTTCCTCTCATTAAGCTGCACCATGAGCTAACGGGACAATTATTTGCAAGGCGTAGCAATAGCTTAGTTCTGGAGAAAACCCTCTTGAATTTATTTTTTTAAAATCTCAAAAGTCTCCTGTTTACCATGACAGTGTTTGCTCTGCAATGAGTCTTTCCACATGACAATGTATGAAGTTGTAAGAAGTGTTGCAAAGGATAGTGAAGAAAAAAAAAAAAAAGAAACCCACACCAAAAAAACCCCAACACCAAAGTACCCTAAAGACAACTTATAATATTTGCTCCCTGAACTTTCATATACGAAGTTAGCATTGCCTCTTAGATCCTAAAGGCATACGTCTGAGAACTGCGAAGCATGAATTAACTTCAGGCCCTTTGCTTACTGGAAGATCATACTAACCAAAGTTAAATATGATGTTCCAAAGCCAGTACTCATATTAAATATTTTCTTTTAAACAAAAGTAACACTGTGAACAAAATACTTTCCTATTTCTCAAAGACACACCTTACCAAACTGAACAGTATTTCAGAAACAAAAACACACACTCCCTGGCTAACATACTTCAAAAAAAATGAGGTGCATGTCCCACAAGCTTCAAAGATCCACTTCTACCCTCTCTTCTTGTAAACTTTAAAAAGTGACAGTGTTTTACATGCCATTCAAATTCTCTTTATCTTCCCTTCAGTTCTGAACTTTATCTTTCATTTTCAAGCAAGTACATAAGGACCAAAAAGACAAAAGTGTCATTAAACCCCACCCTACCATCATACCAGAACCCAATATGCCAGGATCTCTCATCACAGACCAATCAAGCTAGACACTGAACGTACATAACCAGAGATTCCATATTCTTTCGAAACTGGCTAAACAATCATGCTAAAAGCGTGAGAAAGACTGTGACAGCATGTCCTAGATCATGCCTTAGGATACAGAGGACTACTGTAATTTCCAGAAAAGACACTCCTTTTGTTTAGCAGAAAGAAAGTGTTCATTTGTTTCGGTGCGCCTCTGAAAAAGTGACCCAGGCAATACGATTTCCTCACAGTGAGATTCAAGATACAATATGCAGCATACAGAGAGAGCAGACACTCAGCCCCAAACAAGACTGCCAGCATAACACCAGAATCACAATTTAATCTATTGAGAATTTGTAAGCACACTGCTAAATTCAGGTTTAAATCATCTCACCTAGACCAGCAATACAGTTCTGCACCAAAAGCAAGCTTTTCATAGGATGGTCCAGGGTAGCAAGCCTGTCTGTAGCAGAATTACTTGAATCAAGTGAAGGCCCTACAGGTTCATCCAGGTCCTTCTGAAAGGCCAGGTCACACTGGAGCAGAGGTGCCAGTAGCTGCTATGCTCCGAGTTCTGAACTTCGCCAAGTCTCCCTGCTGTACTTTATGGGATGCTGCCACAATGAAAACACAAAGAATTTTTTTTTTTTTTAAACTAGGAAGGAATATTATTAGGTTTGTAATGCTGCTTGTGTTTGCTGTGTTACAATAATAAGTGACTCACTGGAAGAGTTATCAGTAACTGTGCCTAGATAGTTCTTAAATATTAATGGGAACCCCGCCTTTTATCTTCTTTTCCTTGACTTTTGGAATTGAAATCAGACAACTTCCCTCTCGGGAGAAATGGCCTCAAGCCTGCTGCCAGCTCTCCTTTGATTCCACCCTTGAGAGATCACGGCTTTGACAAGTACAAAATTCTTGTAGTATCTATCTACTACAAACCTGAAAGGAGTATCTTGAGAGAAGGAACTCAAAAACAACCAAAAATTGTATGGGATGTGCCAGCCTGAAAACAAGGTCTCTCAGAAAGGCTAAGCAGTTTTTAACTGTTCAGGAGAGCAAGCTGAACAATCTTCAATCTCCTTTATTTTCTGGAGGAGAACTGGAACTCTTCCTAATGCAAAGAGCTCCATACCAGCAAGCCCCAAACAAGTTAAGACCTTGCAGATAGAGCACAGACAGAGTAGAAGTAGTTAACTCTCCCGTAAACAGACCATAAATATGTGGACTGCTTTACATGCCTTTTGGGTGCCTTCCAGTATCCACAACAAGGATGTTAGAAGAAACCCTATGCAGAAAACACAAAGGGCAGGCCAACAGTAGTAGTGCTCAATATCGAGGAGGTGCTTGCTCTTCAACTGCCATTTCACCTGTAGTGAAGGGAGATGTCATTCCTCACCCCTCTGTAAGGGATTGCCCAACTGCCATTGCCATTACCTCCCAACCTTTTAGAGGAGGAAGAGCTAAGCAAGTCTTTCCAAAGGCTGGGTCACACAGCAGACAGGATGACAGACACTGACCCTCACTGCAACAACTACCCAGCTCGCTACTCTCTCTCTCTGCCCAAAAAGATGAGGAGCAGCTGCAAGCTTTTCATTTGACTGTCTTCTAGATGGGGATCAACCAGAGGCTGCGAGGGACATGCCAGAGCATGTGTTGCTGACATGTCTGTCAAGAAAGAGAAGCCCGGAACCGAGAGCCTCAACACCAAGATAGCCAAGTATTTGACAGAAATACAAATTAAAAGCTCAGCTGCAATCCAGGCATTAAAAAAAAAAAAAAGAAAAATATCTTGAGGCCTACAATATAGAAAGCCATTTATCCTATCCTTAAATGAAAAGTATAGAACAGGCAACTTTTCCAGCAGGTAAGTTATAACAGCCGATTCAAAGGCTGTCCCATGCGGCTCCCACCCCAGCCACTGTCCAAGCAGGATACAAGCCTGTTCTTGCCCATCCAGCTTCCAGGCAAATCTTATCACCTCCAACAGCAAACGCCCAGGGAAGAGCATAAGAACAAAGAAACATCTCCCAGCAAACCGGCCTGAACATTTCTGAACTGCAACAGGACTTCACATCCCCTTTAGCCAATGCTTCCCAGCCTGGCTTGGGTACCATCACCATGGGCAGAGGCTCCCAGTGCTGCGCTAGGCCACGCATAGGCTCATTTCTCCTTGATTCTTCTACTGAACACCTTCGACCTCAAAACCACAGCTCCCAGTCGGCCCCTTCACCCACCACCCCCAACCCTGTGGGGGCTGGAGGAAGGATGCCATGAAGGACACAGCACAATCCTGCCCCGTGCTCCAGCACTGCTGCCCCAGGGCCACAGAGGCGCCCAGAGCTGAGTTACAGCTCTGCCAGCGCAGGGAGGCGACTCCCAACTCAAGGCACACTGCCCCAGGGCAGGACATACGTGACAGGTTTGAAAACTATGAGCTAGAAAAGCTGTTTAACTCAAGGACACACACCCCAGCTGAGGCAAATGAAACTCAGCTGAGGGATTTCTAAACCATTCCCTCTTTTAGACACCACAGCAGGTAACAGATCAACACAAGAGACCAAGATCCAAATTTCATCCTCAGTTTCCTGGCCACTCTCCAATATTCCATGAGCACTCTTTGTGATTACAGACCCCATCTCTTGGGCTTTTGTCACTCTCAGTGCACCTTCCACATCTCCAGGTCATGCTCTGAATCTCCAAAGTATTTTGTAGCAGGTCCGGTGGCAAC